AGTATAATAGTATAATAATAGTATAATAATAATAACAAGAATGGAATAAAAATTTGCACTTACAGTTGAAACGGCGAGCGAAGAGTCGTGAAGGGCGTGAATCGGCCGGCGAGGAGTCGTGAAGGGCAATCGGCGGAGAGGAGTCGTGAAACGGAGATGGTGAAGTCGTTCACGACATTACTAGCGTCGGTGGGCAGCAGTGGCGTCGCGGTGGGCAGCGGTGGGCGTCGCGGCGACAGCGAGTCGTTGATGGTGTTGGAGTCGTTGACGATGTTGGCAGCGGTGGGCGTCGCGGAGAAAATGGGTCGGAGAAATGGGTCATAAAATGGAGGAGCTGTACAGTGTTCGCGAATATATTAATTCTGTTTTTATACTTTTTTACATCGGTGGACTTTCCAACCGATACAAGCGTGTGGCTTTTGCATCGGTGGAAAGTCCCACCGATACACGCGTTTTGAATTTTTTTTAATATATTTTAAAACTTTTGGCTATTACATCGGTGGAACCTCCAACCGATACAAGAGTTGTCTTTTACATCGGTGGAACCATTTTTTATATTAATTCAAGCGACCATTTTTTACATTGGTTTTTAGTTAAACCGATGTAATAGCTTGCTTATATTTTTTTAACGTTTTTGTCACCTTGTTTCTTATTTACAAAAATGCCACCGTGTTTTTTTCTGGAAATCTTTTACATCGGTGGATGAGATTGCCCGATGTAATAGGTGACAAAATTTTTTTTTATATTAATTCAAGCGACCATTTTTTACATCGGTTTTTAGTTAAACCGATGTAATATCTTGCTTTTTTTTACACGCGTTTTTTATGATTTTTTAATATATTTTATATATTAATTCAAGCGACCATTTTTTACATCGGTTTTTAGTTAAACCGATGTAATAGCTTGCTTATATTTTTTTAACATTTTTGTCACCTTGTTTCTTATTTACAAAAATGCCACCGTGTTTTTTTCTGGAAATCTTTTACATCGGTGGATGAGATTGCCCGATGTAATAGGTGACGAAAAAAAATTTTCCCTTATTTTTTATATCATTGCAAATAAATACCTGATGTAAAAAGTTTGTTAACTGTATTTTTTACATCACATATTTTGATACCCGATGTAAAAACTTTTTCTCAAATGTCTTTTTTTTAGTAGTGTTTAAAGTTGTATGGATGATTGGAAGGTTTACTTAATGCATATTTTCGTAAAGTATGATAACATGTTGGCTTAGGCATGGTTATATAAGTCTTGAAAGCTTGAAGAGAAAAAAATGGATTCATGGTGATCTTGGCAAGGATTTTGGCATGGCTTGGTTCTTAACAAGATATAGATAAAATGAGACTTAAACCAAAAGCAATTTTTTGTGAAATTATTCTTGGAGATGTAATGTAAAGGATATGATTTTTTAATTGGAATGCTTTCTTGAATAAGTGTTTAATGGACTTCGGATATGGTTAAAAGTGTAATGTGGCTTCTCTTTTCAAAAGAAATAAAGTTTGAATTTTTTCCCCTTCAATTGCTTAAACTTTGAGATTCCAAATCTCCATTTTGTCTTCACTCGTAAACTAGAATGAAACATGAGATGAGATGAAAGCCCAAAAATGATTTAATATGGACTTTGGTCAAAAAGTCAACCTTCCATGGTTGACTTTGACCAAAAATGCTAGTTTCATCAGATGCCCTCTAAATTTAAAAAGATCCACAAAACATTATGTAAACTTCCATTCTTGTATAAAACTAAAGGTATTGACTTGTAACACAAGTAATCAGGTTAATTCCAACCTTGACTTGATGATAAAGCGAGATAAAACCTTAATATGAGGGAACCACAAATTATAACCAAAACCTTAATATTCACCTGATAACCACAAGTATTAAGTAATGAATCTCCATCCATGATTAAAGAGAACATGTGTTGAAAACAAACCCTCATAGGTAAGAAACCTTGATTCAGTGACACCCTTAATTTCACATGTACCCTGATCCCATGCCAAAGTTATTTATTCAATGAATGTATGATTGTATGATGACCTAATGAAAATGTATGCATGTGAATGAGAAGTCTAAGCCAAATAAAAGTATAATTAGGAAGGAAAATTTTGGGGTATGACAAAGGGAAAATGGATTGTTTTGAGTAGGAGAAAAGGTATCTAAAAGTGTTCTAGTAGTAATGAATGGAGAGGTTGGGGTATAGGTCTGTAGGCTATTGGGTTAGGTGTAATGATTGGAGTATGCACAAGGTCAATGGAATAGATTCAAGATCCTTGGGATCATGATTAAGAATAGGTACGGGGGTAGAGCATAGAACCAGGCTCTGATGCCAACTGAAGGTGAGAAAAACACAAGAAGAGGAGTTGAATTGTGTTAGCTTTTTCTTTATTATGTAAAAATATCTTATTAGATTCTAAACTCAAAGTCAAGAATCTGATATAGAGGCAATTGTTTATATCGGATAAAAAAAGGTTCAGAGATAGAGATTGAAATAAAGAGAGATACAAGCAAGTTTATATTTGTTCCTCCCACAAAACGAGAGTAGTCTAGTCCCATTGCATTTCCAAGGGACTTCACTATAATCATAACTGATTACAAATGCTCAAGCACATAAGCAAAAGACTTCCAAACACACAATAAGAGACTTTTATTGCTCAAACGCACAAGCAAAAAACTTCCAAACACACAATAAGAGACTTTTATTGCTCAAGCACACAAGCAAAAGACATCCAAACACACAATAAGAGACTTTTATTGCTCAAGCACACAAGCAAGAGACTTCTAACAATCTAACTTCATCAGGTAAAAGATTGTTTGAATATTACATTTGATATACAATCAAAGGTGTGAATAGAATACAACTAAAAAAGACTTTTAAGACGTATGAATTTCTAAGATATACAAATGATAAGAATTTCTAAGTTAAACTTGTTCTTTTGGTTTGACTGAGTAACAACTCTTTTGATAGTCAAGGATTCATTATCTTTCTTCAAGTCTTCAGCTCCTTATACAGAGAGACATGAAAGAGTCGTTGAAGAGAAGATCTAGCACAAGTGCGTCTTGAAGAAGCTTGATCATTGACGTTGGAATGTTACTTGATATGGTCAATGCCTTTGAAAAGACATTTGAATTCCTTTTGATTCAAGAGGAATTATGTGTTACATCCTAGCTGTCTTTGTAGATTTTTTGTTTGGATCTGCACATGATCAAAAGAAGACAAATTGCTCCCCGAGTCTGATAATGGCCTATCTGAGTCTTCTTGATCCTTACGTTAACTGACCATAGTCTAATACTTTCAGAGTCTTAGTCTTCATAGGTAGACTTTCTTTAGAGTTTGGTCTTCAGAAGTTGACCTCCTTCAGAGTCAGAGTCTTCAGAGTCTGGTTCTAAGGTTCTGATACTTCAGATTCTAGATCTTTTAGCTTCTCATTAAATTTTCATTTTCAGTACAAGTACAAAGTTTATATGATAAATTTTTGTCTATGGTCCTGAACACTTGAACATTTATTAGTATACCCAATTCTTCTTTAAATAATTTGTTATCATCAAAACCTTAGAGATATGGTACAAACCAATTTTGTTCCACCAGAGATTTGTCCCAATACTTGAGAAACTCGCCCATAGGCAATGTATTAGGGACTCATAACTATTAAAAATTACGAAGAAAGAAATTCAAATGAAATAAGGCAAACTGCCACAAGGCCTGGACGTTTTCATTAATAAAAGCCCTCTGGGAGATGTTACAGTACCCTTCTTATGAGGCGATGAAGAAAATAATACAAAATCAAGGTCCTTGGAGTTGGAAAAACTCTCGTTTACGAAGTCTATCCTAAGGGACTCAACTATCTAAGCCTCACATGAGAGACTCACCTTTATGAAGTCTCGTTTATTGTATCAACTATCTAAGTCTCGCTTAAGGGACTTGACTATCTAAGTCTCGCCTAAGAGACTCGACTATCTAAGTCTCGCCTAAGAGACTCGTCACAAGCAATGCTTGAGAATTTCAACTCGGGAAATTCTTGAAGGGTTCATTGCCAAAGACGTCGTCACTACCCATTTGAGTTAATTACTTCATCATTCCCAAGAAGGGACGATCCATGATAAATCAATTCAACCCAAATGTTGCAATATTGGCGAGGTCTCCCATAAAATACGCACAACGAGCCCCTTGCAACCCTGAGCAAGAAGGCTCTCACCCTCTATTTTATTTTAAACGAGTACAATTTACAAAACCAATACATCAATTTTTCAATAAATAACTAAATAATGAATTAATTTTATTTATTCTAGCAACTAGAAAATGTATTTAAATAAAACACATGAGTAATTTTACAAAATTGGAATTTTGAGTATTATATTTGGTTTAATAAAAAAAATTGTTTTACTACCGTTAATGTATATAGGCTGCATAATGATTAACGTCTTGTCTAGATTCAAACTTTTATATAGTATTTCATATATTACTATATATATAATACTATATATATTATACAATACTATAGATATAATACTATAAGATTATCCAATACTATATATTATCCAATACTATATATTATACAATACTATATATATATATATAACAAATACATAAATTATTAAATTAAACAAAAAATTTTAAATTTGATCAAAAGTTATTTAATCATGAAAATTGTTTGACTACCTTTATTGTATATAGGCTGCATAATAATTAACATCCTGTCTAGATTCAAACTTATATATAAGATTATCCTATGCAATTTTTATTTTTTATTTTTGCAATTTTTATCATAGAGGTGCATGGATATACGTTACAAAACATTCATTATACATTCTAATGAGAAAACCGTTTGAATTATTGTCCATAAAGGAAAAACGTATAATTTTGAATTTTCCAATTTAAATTTGAATTAAACGAGAATTTAACATCAATTAGTACTTATACATTTAGCAAAAATCTAAGTGTCTATATAAAACAAAATTTGAGAAGTTATTGCATAAACGACACTCACTCATTACAACAACAAAAAATGTTTACAATTTTGTCACAAAAAGCACTTTTATGGTCTTTGATTTTGTTAGTGTGTCACTTTGCTATCTCATGCAAAGCTAACCAACAAAGTGAATATCTCTACAAGCTTATTCAATCAAAGAAGTCTCAAGAAAAGGATTTTTCTTCACATGAAGAAGCTTATTATTTAAGTGATTTTAGTGATGAATATGTTTCACATGAACATGATGTTGAACAACAACTAAGGTTGAAGGAAGCTGATAAGGTTAAAGCTTTACCTGGTCAACCAAAAGGAGTGGATTTTGATCAATATGCAGGCTATATATCTGTGGATGCAAAAGAAAATAGAAAACTTTTCTATTACTTTGTGGAATCACCTTTGAACTCTTCCACAAAACCTCTTGTTCTATGGCTCAATGGAGGTAAATCAATACATAATTTTTGTTTGTATATGGATGAGTTATTTATAATTTAGATATATGATATATCATTGTTTATATACAGGACCTGGATGTTCTTCATTCGGGTATGGAGCCATGCAAGAATTAGGACCTTTCAGAGTCAATAGTGATGCAAAGACACTTTCTCTTAATAAACATGCATGGAACAAAGGTAAAAAATTCACAGTTAATCATAATGTCAAGTCACTTGTATCATTCAATTAAGGGTTAAATATATTTGTAGTATTTAATAGAAAATTGTTGTTTCGATAATTGGCAGTTGCAAATGTTCTCTTCTTAGAGTCACCAGCAGGAGTTGGATTTTCTTACTCAAATAATACATCAGATTATAAAGTTGGTGATAAAACCACAGCAAGATATTCTTACATTTTTCTTCGAAATTGGTTCAAAAGATTTCCACAGTATAAAACTCGAGATTTCTTCATAGCTGGTGAAAGTTATGCTGGCCATTATATCCCTCAGCTAGCTCATGTTATTCTCTCAAAAAATAAGGGGAAAAAATCTCTCGAAATCATCAATTTGAAAGGAATCGCGGTAAGAGTTTTTCCAACATTCACATATATCACATTTCACAAATATTCATCGAATTGTTGGTGCAGGTTGGAAACGGTTGGATAGACGACAATTTGTGTTCTAAGGGAATGTATGATTATTTCTGGACGACTGCTTTAAACTCTGATGAAACTCACAATGGAATTCAAAAACATTGTCACTTTAAGAGCTACGATGAATCAGATGAATGTGATGAATATCAAAATATATCTTATAATGAAGTTGGAAATATTGACATTTATAACATATATGCTCCAGTATGTAATACATCTACAACAGAAACTAGTCCCTCTGTAAGTTCACATACAATACCTAACTAATTTGCATTTATTTATGTCAATTACATAATAATCATAATGATAATGATTCTTAAATGAAATATTACAGGAAAATATTTTTGACCCTTGTTCTGATGATTATACCACTTCTTACTTAAATCAACCTAAAGTTCAAGAAGCTCTTCATGTTAAAGCCACAAAATGGTCACCTTGCAGGTACACTGTAATCTCTGAACAACTGAATGTCTGACGTTGACATGACATTGAGATATGACACTGAAACATGTGATTACATTTAATTTTTTTTTTTTTCCAGTAATGTGCTAAATTGGACCGATAGTCCAACAAGTATTCTACCAACTATAAACGGGTTAAGATCAAGCGGAATAAGTATTTGGTTATTCAGGTATAAAATGCTCTTTCATATAACAAGATTATCAATATACTTTATGTTTAAGTAACATTAACATTGGTTCATGAAATTGCAGTGGTGATACAGATGGTCGTGTCCCCATAACCTCAACAAGGTATTCGATAAACTCTTTAAACCTACCAATACATACAGCATGGCGTCCATGGTACAATTATAAAGAGGTAAACAACCATATAACTTTTACAGTATATTTATGAAATACCGACACAGACACGTCAAACACAGGTATTAACTTTATTACATTATTATGCAGGTTGGAGGATATTTGATTGGTTACAAAGGACTTACACTTCTAACTGTTAGAGGAGCTGGGCATATGGTTCCAAGTTACCAACCACAAAGGGCACTCACCATGATCTCATCTTTCCTTCAAGGAAAACTTCCTCCTAAATCAGACTCTTAAGTCTATTCTTTGTATCCATAAAATCTATGTGAAAATATATGAAATATAAATAATAATTCATTTGTGAAAAATTGTGTTCAATTTCTAAATTTTCGGACTGTGAAAATGTGTCAAATAATCATTGCTTAAAACAAACATAAGATTTATTGGAACTGGTTAGTTAGAGAAATTAACATTTCATTGACATTATGTAGAGGTGTGTTTATACACCTGTAGAGTAACTAATTCTCCTAAATAAATGTGACAGTCTATTTTAATATACTTTAGCGTTCATGGAAGACAGGGTTATGAGTTTAGCAGACAGCTGAGCCGTTGTCGCATTATAGAGATGTAGGTCTAATGATAACCCAAGGTCTGTATGAACGGGCTTTAGAAAGGTGCCAAAAAAAAGAAGATTTGACATGAAAAAATAATGATTTTGCAACATTGAGTATGTGTTGATGCTTCCGCTTAATAATACCATTTTGTTAAGGGCATTTAACACATGATGGTTGATGTAAGATACCTTTAGATTTATAAAACTATTATTAAAAATTCATGTCCATTGTCCGTTCAAATACATTTTAATTTAATATAAAATTGAATGGAAATAAAAGAAATAAAGTTGGTTATGTGCCTATGAGTTTAAATTTTGTGGGTCATAAAGATAACCCAAGTGAACGGTGTGAAATCATCAACTAAAATAAAAAAACTATCTATGATTAGAGATAGAGGTTGTGGCATAAGGCCCCCGAATATCAACGTAATATAATCAAAAGCATGAGATATGGTAGTACTACTATCTGCATAAGATAGTTTTCTCTGTAGTTCATTTTTCTTTTTCTTTGTGTATTCTCTATTGGTTGGGTTTGTATAAGTATTTATTTTGAACTCTTGTATATTTGTCGTCCTTGGAGTTGTATAAAACTTGTTTTACAAATCTTTGTCGATTGTTATCATTGATTTTTGCTCTGTGTTAGGGATTTGAGTTTCTATAGACATATACTGCTTGAATTCTTATCTAGGATAGTTATCTAATTGTGTCTGAATTCTAGGATTTAGCATTATTATTCACTTAGGGTGTCTGTGATTAATGCCTCTGTGTTTTTTGTGTCGCTCTGAGGGATCATCGATGCAAGCGAGCACAATTGACTTATATGTTGTTAAGGTTAGTTGAGAGATCGTCGCCGAGGTTATACAGTGGGTGGTGTATTTGACATGTGATGAAATCAATGAATATTGTAGGTTTAGTACAACAGGTTGATATGTTTAAGTCTGTGAGAAGTAGTATATATGCATGCTTGACAAGTTATTCCTTTTTCCTTTTTATACATTTATTTTCTGTTGACACTTTTCCTTTTAACTCATTTATCCTCCAAACTCATTAACAAGAGATTTTTCGAATGAAATTTCAATTAACCAATCTATCTATCTATCTATCTATCTATCTATCTATCTATCTATCTATCTATTATTTGCTAGGTTTTTTATCTCATTCTGAATGTCCTCATCTGTTATCGGATTTCCCGGTAAAAGGAACTTTTTCATTTCAATTACAATCGATTCCTGCTTTATTAAGGCATTTCGGTAGCTCACGTCTAGGGACTTATCTTCGCGTAATGACTCAATATTACGCAATTCACTGCTAAAATCCCGGACAGCCCGACCCTCCCCTTCTGAAGCTGAAGGACCAGGCTGATCTTGGGTTTCGTGAAATGCAGGCAGAGCCCCCTCTGGGGAAGGAGGTTGATTGAACCCCCCAGACATTCCTCCAGATGAAGAGGGGTAGAATTGTGCCACAGCTCTAGCGAGGTCTTCCATGAAGACATAACCTAGTTCCATTATTCCTCGTGAAAGAACAAGACTAAATAAGAATCCAGTTAAAAAATATAAAAGGTCTTTCCCTCTATTGGGAATTTTCCTAATAAGTGGTAGATCACAAAAAAATGTGAAACCTGAAGTGTCGCGAAAGACTGGGATGGGAAACAAAATGGAATGTACCGGATTTTTTGCACGTGCAACCATCAAACCAGAGACCAAAGCGGGGCTCGACAAAACAGAAAGTATCATGGTACCCTTAGTCCAAAAAGCCTTCCCGGAAATGGAACTTTAATGCTAGTTCTTACTCCAGCATGAAAGTCAATCTATTACGACCAGCGCGGTTGTTCTTATTTAATTTTCTTCTTCCAAGCCTTACATGCACTAAGTTACTGACACTTACGGAATAGAAAATCTTACACTGTGCACTGACTATAGTAAACTTCTATTCGCATTGACCGTAGAAAGTTCCTTCCTATCCTATTGCACTGACCAAAGTAGGTCGAGTTGACCTTCCAATGCATTCTTTTCGATCTTTAACTACGATAGACTGAAGACGAAGCCAATTTCGATAAAAGGTGAAGTCGAAGCTACTCGATCATTCAACAGGGACAGCTGGAATCTACGCTAGGATCCAACCAGCGCTGCCAGCTTTCTTCTCTTATGAAATTGATAGTTACAGAAAGAGATCATTTCTAAACCGGAATCTTAGGATACCACCACTAATAGAAGGACAAGGACCGGAGACTTGAACACCAGCCAGATAGGCATTCACCAACAAAGACCAAGAGCGTCCTATCTTGTAATTAGTACTAAGAGCGGCTATGAGTAGGAGCTTGAAGCCTACCCGCAGTTGATGGTCTTGTTGGAATATGCGCTGTTCTCGACTCCGATGCTATTGAATCCGTAAGGTTTGTATTAGCACTCGCTTAAGTGCTAAAGGTAGATATGCAAATCACTTAGTCCTTGAACTAGGGTAGGGATATGCCCTAGTAATCAAATTCAAATAGAGTACCAGTACTCTACTAGTGAAGGAGGAAATCGTCTTTTACATAGAAGGTAATTCTTGGAACTAACTTTTCCCTCTGAGACTGGCATTAAGTTATGAAAAGTTGTGTTTTCTCGGGATTTTTGGCAGCAGCAATGGTCTTTCTGCCCGTCCCTTTTTCAATTTCAACTAAGCTTGGCACAGCCGCCTAAGAAATTAGGTCACGGTCGCGGATCAGGAGAGAGTTACTTGTGTGACGCATCTATATCTGGGGATAATCGGGTAGAACTCAGGGCTTTCGGGTGTAAATCGGGGAACGATCAATTGGGTGTCCGGGGTGCTATAAAGATAGGGGACGATACGCTTTGCCGTGCCAGCTATGAGGCTATATTCTCGTTGAGTCGGGCGCTTGGGAAGACTGTCCTGTCGGGTTGGAAAACCAACATCGGACCGGGATGTTGTTCCCTCCTTGTTTGAAAAGATTCAGGAAGAATCTGGTAAGTTCGCTCTACACTGTCCCTTAGATGGGGAAGGACATAGGCTCGGCACATTTCGTAGCTATCATCGTCGCGTCCGTCAAATTAAGGTAGGCGTTGGTACATTATACTGGGTGGCAGCTTTTCGGTACACGGCCTTGCGTTGTCGTCAGCCGTACGCCGTTGAGCAGCAGTCTTTAGAAGCATGTCATCTATGAATGATCCGATGAAACTAGAGATGGAATAAAACCTAGCTTTTCATCACGCGAATTAGCCGCCAGTCGCCTTCCTTGCTTGACAGTATAGCCTGCAGGTTAAATCCCCGATGTCGTATTGTACATGGGAATCTAAATTGTGAGGCCATTGAATGATAAATCACGACCTTAAACACTTGCCTGTAGCTATAGTGTCAACTTGACGCGCTGAACGACTATGATCAGAATCCTTTCGGGGGCCCCGTTTCCCATTGGTGCGCTGGAGACGGTTCTTTCTGTATCTTCGGCTTCCTCTTCTTCTGTAGCTTCTTTTTCGTCTTCTCCTCCTTCTGAGTCAAACAGATAAAATAAAACATGTGAATGAAGATAGATTGACCTTCCTCTTCTCTTCTGACTCGGCCTCCTCTTCCTCCCGGATAGGTGCTTTTCCTTTGTCTTTTGACGAAACCGGTTGAGGTTCTGAGGGCTCCCCGAGTTCCGCTTTTCCGGCTTCTCTCGCTGTTTCGGGGAGCTGTTCCACCGGTTGAGTTAGAGTCGAGGTGGGGAAGATTGGTTATTCCTTCATCCCAGAATGCATTAAGATTGCATCTACAGTTGGTTGAGTTTCTGTGCCTGGATGATCAGTGATATTTCGTCTGGTTGTACCGGAACTCTTCTTTCTTTCCTCGTTTGACCTGCACCCGCTAACCGACAACTGAGTTTAGTCAGCTCAACAGTAATATGAATCCCCTTTCATATAATCGTTAGGGTGTTAAACACAATCATTCGAAAGTGCCGAAAAGATCGAATTGACTCAGATCCGCTTACCCTTCGAGCAAGAAAAGAAAGAAGAACTCGCTTTCGCTAGGCACCAAGGCTTCTTTGACTTCTAACTTCCCTTGAGCCTGGTTAAGAAAGGAAAGCCGGCCCAATCCCAGCTTCTGAAACAAGAGAAAATATCACAGTGGCAAGATCTAAGATCCTTGATTTAAGTGAAGGAAGAAAACCAACTAGTCCCATCTCTTTCTATTATGGAATTGGATAGTTACTCATATTAAATAGCAGGGGATTCTATAACAGCCGGATATGCCTTTGTATGGTATAGTAAGCTGTTTAGCAACCTGTATCGATTTGCCACAGTGTGGTTAGATACAATGCACTGGCAGCCTCCGCATGTCAGGATGGGAATGAAGATAGACTTAGTATCAAGCAACTTTCAGGCTAGCAATTGTCTTGTCTACGAGGGGCTAGACGAAGTCTTGCGTATAGAAAGCTGGAAGGGCTTTGTGAGGCAGCAATGCGAGATCGCCCTCAGATCTTTCTCGTAGCCTCTGGGGTACTGATTTATGCTTAACTCAAGGAGTTTCTACTATACGCTTCGGGTCTTACCTTATTTCATGCTGATCGAAGCGCTATCCCTTCTTATCCCCTCTTTGTATGAATCTTTCCGTCTTGGTCCGATCGGACTTTCTTTTTATTTTTTTTAACTAAAGTTAAATCGCTCTTACTGTGTCAATCTTTCTACTTCCTCTTTCGTCGGCTCGGGTGGGGATATTATTTATACTAGAAAACGTTGATTTATCAACCTTCTTTGCCAAAGTAATGATCTTTGACAGAGATAATATTTTAAAATAAAACTTCACCAGCATGTCCGCTTTATCATCCTTCTTCAGAATCATACGCCTATGATGAGACGGAATGATCCGAGGGTAACCGGACCGAGCGAGATAAACAGGTACCGCATTGTCCGGATGAACGAATTCATCACCACCATAGGCCATCATCAAGGATGAAGCTGCTTGCTTTAAATATAAAGCGCAGAACAACCACCCAGATTGGAGACCAAGGTGAACAATGCGAATAACAACAAGATGGATCCCCACACAGAGTTCCTTGTTCAGACCATCAAAGATCACTAAAGCACCTTTTGGTATGTATTGCCCCCTAAAGATCAGATCCACCAGACGAGAAACTCCATTCCGCACTGCTGCTGAGTCGTCGGACTTATCCACCAAGGGATTCGTGGAATTTATATGGATTGCGTTGGGGGAAATCTACCAAAGCTAGGCAGATAGATAGACTCCTTTCCCGCTGGCTGCTAAGGGAGAGTAAGAAAATCAAATGATTTTTTTTAATCAGCGCCTCCTTTTCTTTTGGGTATGCAGGTACTACGAGTCCTCTCACTACCAACCAGCAGACATCATCTGGCTGGTCTTGCCGGTATCAACAAACAAGAAAAAAACAACCAAACGGAAACAGCAATTAACTATGGCTCTTGGCCCAGACAACGTCCTAGGCGTCGGGGAGATCGGAGCAACAAGGAACGCCTAGACGACGTTTTTATTCCTGGGCTGCAGTAAGCAGATCGAGAGGTCGTTCCGCCCCTTGTCCCCGAATATGGGTAATATGTTCTCAAAAATGATTGCTTCAATCTGACCTAGCTGGCGAGCGATCCCAGTTCGCGGCAGAGAACAAGACAGCAAGCGAGCGTACCTTTGTTCGCTTCTTCTCCACCAAGCACAGAAGTTTAAGGATAACTGTAGGTCGGTGGCTACCTAAGGAAACTCCGATTCGATCCGCCCCCCAGCTGGGAGGCATCTACCTCATCCCGATCACAAGGAGAGGTTCACCATGATGGGGTACTTTTTTTTTACCTTCCGGAATTAATTAAATGCATAGGGGACCATCCTTTTGTTATGTTGCGGCATGCTCCTAATATTTACGGATTAGCAGGGGGCCTCAGGCCCTACTTAGTTGACTGACAATGACAAAGGCTTGCGAAACTCAGTAGGGCCTTTTGAATTGAATCTGAAGTAGTCTATCAGCGGTGCAAAGCGGCTTTGTGCCCCTTTTCAGTAGGGGAGCGAAAGGTTAGACCTTAGAAAGTCAGCGAACAGCGGTTCTTCTATGTAGGTATGGCCTTCCCCCTTGACTCTCCTAACGTCGAGCTAAGTGACTCCGTAACCTTTGCGTAGCGTAGTAGAATGAAGGCTACACACTGACGCTCTCTTATCTATTAGCCTAAGCGTCTTCGCTAACTCGCTCGCCTACTATACCCTACTATACAATACATTAGTAGGCTAACCCATAGGTCCTTAGTAGCGTTGACAAAGAAGAACAGCCGGTTAAAAGACAGTGAATCTTTAGAAAAAGATTTTTCTAAAAGATTCTATAATAATGAATAATATATTTTATATAGGCCAGCTTGACAAGCTACCCTTCCTCTTGATCTTAGGTGCGGAGAGAAATATCTCTTTTTTATGACTTCCACTTATCTATCGATCCCGGCCCGGAAAAGTGACCGACCAGGGCCCTCTTTTTGAATGAAAGAAAGGCTTTATGAGCCCTAGCCCTGTAAGCCCACACCTGTGTAGAGTAGATCGTTCAACACCTGCGGCACAAACCCATTTTTGACCTATTGGTCCTAGTATCATAGGCGACCGAACGGCCGCCCCCTAATTACTAGACCAACCTGCTGTAATAATTCCATAAACACCTAACGAAGATATGGCAAACAAATAAAGTAGCCCTATGTTCGAATCTGACAATACCATACCATAATCAAAAGGTACAACGGCCCGAGCGACCAGACTTAACATAAATGTAGCCACTGGAGCCATTCTAAAAAGGGAGAAATTAGCACTACTTGGTGAAATAGGTTCTTTTAGAATCAATTTCAAACCATCTGCTAGAGGTTGTAACAATCCGAACGATCCCACTACATCAGGACCCTTTCGACGTTGCACAAAAGCCATTACTTTACGTTCAGCTAGCACTAAAAAGGCTACTCCTAGTAGAAGTGGTAGAATTATTCCTAGTATTTCAGCTGGAACAGCTATGTACGTTTTCGATTTTCTATTCACTCATGATCTGGCCTGGTCGACCCAATCATGATATTGAAGGATGGGACCTTTTCTCGAAAAACCCTGTATCTCGACATAAGGGCATTCTTTTCGATCTTGTACCCAGCAAGAAAACGAATGCGCGAACGCGGCTTTCGCGCAGCTCAATCCCTTGCTTGTTCGCTTCGCATAGGCTACACAAGCGGTACACTGCACACCAAGCCAATCTCGAAGAAAAAAGTTAACTACACGCAACTACATCTGTGAACTGGGAGGGACGGAATCTACGCTACTAGGGTAGCCTGAATCTACCAGCTTTCTTCTTTTTTATTAAATTTCCGCTTCGCCCTTTTCCGGGGAGCAGGACAGAGAAGAAAAGACTACATCGACAGGAAAATATTTAAATTGGGAAGGCTTATTTTCCTTAACTAAACATTCTTCTCTGGGTCAAGCCAGCTAGGCCCTCTTCTGTCTATCTACGTAATAGAGTGCCATCCCGCTTCTGCCAGAATCGAAGCGACGCTGAAATGATTTGGTTCACGTCTTTCAATGCCTTAAGTTATTACCCGAGTGACCGAATTCCAGAGTAAATTCCTAAACCGGAAAGATCGTCCCAAACTAAGAGTCTACCAAACCCAAACAAGGATCTTCCCAGCCTTCCACCAAAGCCACAACACTTCCTGTATAACCATCTCCGCTCACAGAGGGATAAGCGGACTAGCCGGCTGAAAGGCAAAGAGAAGAACTGCCTACTCAATTACAACTAACTAACCGCCTGAGCAAATTGCCGATCTCTTTCCCCAGGGATGATCTTCCTTTCATTCTTAAAGGCCTCCATCTTGCATTTTCACGCGCTCAATCGGAATTGGTTAGGTAGATGTGAGGAAAGAGCTGTGCTTTATTAATAGTCGTGGGGGTCTGTAGGCCCCATTGTATTGTTGTTGTGTAGCTACTATTTTCGAGTGTTGGAGCTCGGGATTTCCTTAAGCGAGTTCAAGGAAGTGACGTGAAGGTAACCTTAGGTAAGGAGCTGACGAGAGAAACAGGTCTCCACGTCTTTTGGTAGTGGAGGACAGAAGGCGGACTTAATTGAGTTGTGGTCTTGTTGGGGGGCTCTAGTAAGGTATGGGGCGGGCTTTCAAAGGGGGGAAATTAACCCAGTCTAAGCCAGGCAAGCAATGCAAAGCTAGATGAACCCAGACAGAGAAAGATCGGGCTTTGGAAGCGGGATGACATACGGACTATGCACAATTCTGTCACGTGCGGGTAGACCAGAACGTAGACCTGTCATTCCTTAACCGGGATGGTAAGGCCCTTGAAGCTGAATTGGATCAAAGGCTGCGCATCTCGCACCTTGCAACTTCTTTCGTAACAAAGCGAATGAGTAATCGGCCCGAAGAAGCTGCTTGAAACTGTCCTGGAATCCCTACTCGCCCATGTCGGGATTCAACCTAAGGCTTGTTCGAAGTCCGAATGAATGGATAATACATACATCAAGAATATGAAGCACAATCTCCAACTCTTAACCGGTGGCATCTTTGCTTGTTCCTGATGCTTAAATTTATGTAGGGCTCCGTCCCGGAAGTGGACTTCTCTTCTCCTTTCGTTCTCTTCCTTCTTTTTTGGTTAGATATTAATACATAGTAGTACTAAAATACTCTTTGCCAGTACGGAAAGCTAGTCTGATTCTTTTGAATAGCATTTTTTTCCTATTACTTTATTTTTTTATACTCCCTTCGCGGATCTCCCCTCTTATCCAATCAACCAACTGTCCCAGGCCGGGAAATAGCGTTCTCGGAATAAGCTTTCGCCGCCCCTAGCTCTTAGCTGTCTCCTTTTAGTCAGAGGTAAATAAACTTGAATTCGACATCAATGGAGAAGAAAGCAGACTTGTTCGCTCACTCTTCTTGCCAAAGTGATTGATCTGTCTTGATTTTCGAACTGGTTGGTATTCCCGCCCCGACCTTGATTAGCTCACTCTTTTTTTAGCTGGTCTGTGCTTTCCAGTGAACATTATCTTTCTAGAGAGGACAGGTGTGCACCAGAGCTGGAGCAATTCATGGAAAGCATCCTTATCTGATTAAAGAACGGAGAGTATCATCTCCTGGGGCCTGACCCTGTGATGTAGAATCCTTTGCTCTTTCACGCATTGATCTTGATTCGGGTTTCAATTTCTTTCTTTTTTATCAGCCTTGCACCCGGTAATAACGGAACTTGAAGTCTTGCTCGTCTCTTTCATTGACCAGGAAAGTATTTTCTGTGATAGGAGGACACTCTATCAAAGGCCTTGATCCAGCTCTCGCTTCTGTATCAACTACAGGCCTTCACTCTACTCTCTCGTTCAGATCCTCCGTTCTAGGTCCAGGCATACGCAAGGATGGGAAGGAGACCACAACTCCAGATCGATGTCCCAGGTCAGGTTACCACCCCTCTCTCTATCGCTCTCTCCCTCGGCATACAATCAATGGGCACAATCAAATTCTTAAGTGGATTCAAAAACTAGAAAGCCTTAAGATCTTCCCTCTCCTGACCACGAGGAACGAGTGAATGAAAGCATAAATACGGGCTCTCATGGATTAGTCGTCATGAGGCCCTCTTTATAATTTGTGTCTTTCGTGATCTTCCCCCACATAGGGATGCTATTCTTACAAATGCTTACTGCCCAACAACATCTTTTCGAAGCAAACGGAGCTCACCGATATCAAGTTTTACTTCCGCCGAATACGAAAGTTAAAAAGCAAGTCAATCTATTAGCCATCTCCCTTCGGCTCCTCTTTAGGTCGTGGACTCGGGCTTTTTAAGGGAAGCACTTCGTTCCACTCGTTCTAGACATACTCTAAACTCCTAACAAGAGAAAGAAGGAAAACAAGGAGTAAACAAGAGCTACAACAACTAGAGTGTCAAGGCCAGGAGGAGGCAAGGGAAGTTTCTTTTGGGAAGCAAGCCCCTCAACTTATCCGCTTATCGGAAAGAGCAGGGACCTACTACCTACAGGAAGAGACAGGACAGCAAACTTCTGGGCACCTTTTTGTAACTCATATCTATTCTTTGCTCGTTAAGTCTGCGAAGCGAGCCTTCACTGGGGAGATAGCGACCTCTTCAACTCCACTACTACTACCTGTACTCAATCAAGTACAAGTAACAAAAAAAAAACAATTAATACAAGAAGCGACCTAGTCGAGCTATTGTCAAGTTAAGCAGTTCCTCTTGTCGAGCTAGACTCTACTCGCGCTATAGTCGAGGAAAGCTCGCGCGTTATTCGTGTTAAGCTGTCGAGTTAACTAGACTCGAGGAACTAATCCTTTAGGTTTAGGAAACTCCTCCTCTCTGAGAAGAGGACACTGACTTAGTTCAGTGCAACAACAAAAGAAAGGACCCTGACCCCTCTATATCCTGGGGGGAAGATCAAACTCTTTAACTCAATCTACTACTACTGTTCTCACTCATTGACATAAGTAAAAGCTACCAGTTCCTTACTCAAAGAACTCGTACCGGTACTCTTGAGTTCACAAACCTAAAAACCTTAGATTGGAGTAGAAACTCGATCCTACTAATTACATAGAACCATGAACCATCGATCGAGTGAGTTCGAGGTGGTTCATGCTTTCTATATAAGTCGCTGTACGCTAAGGCAAAGGTTGTAACCATGCGTCATGCATGCCGTAAGCGGGCTCTGGTGGGGGAACCCGTAGGAAGGGGGGACGACCCGCCGAATTCACATCAGAAATCGCCAGAACACAAACGAAATCTTGAATTGCGTATAGAAACAAAACGAACCACTTATATTCTTGGAGCTGAGGTATATGAAGAATGGCTTTTTGGTCCCTTTCGTCCAGTGGTTAGGACATCGTCTTTTCATGTCGAAGACACGGGTTCGATTCCCGTAAGGGATGGCTACTCTTTCCCGGCCGCTTTCAGTTAGTGTTCATTGCTGAGTGATCGCTCGCAATCTGGCTGGAAAGGTGGTCCGGAAGCTTGATCTCTCCCAGCAAGCAAGACGAGATCACCACTTCTCTCAGTAATGGACTTCCTTTAATTCTTCCTTAGCCTATGATGTCCTATCATAGATTATCGAACCTCCGACAGAATCCCCATGCATGCGTTCTTTCTCTCCTCCCCTCAGCCATACATCTCTTTTTTTTTCTTTTGGCCGGCATTGAACCCCACCTTAGGTGCTGAGTGGTGTCCTCCCCTCCCTTAGACCTAAAAAATAAGTTCCGTCTATGGAGCCTAAAGCTTAAACCATGGCAGTAAGCAGTAAGTTGGCCTAGTCTCTTGCCCTGCCTTCGCCTTCTTCAGTGGCCAAGTTTAAGCGTTCAACGGTTCTTCGGCCTACCATACCACCTTTATTTTTCAAGGTTGAGCTTGTTCAGTTGAAGCTAATGCTATGCTGCCCTTTCCTTGTTCAAGAGAAGGCGAGGACTTTCTTTTAGCTACCGGCCCAAACAAAAGAGATTAGCCTCTTGATCGATCGATTGATTTGATTGCAGTACGAAGGGGTTTAAGAAGGAGGCATTGGAGAGAAGTAGGCATGGTGGCCAACCAAGGCAGTGAAATCGAGACAATCAATCGGAAGAGGGTTTAGTTAGGAGTCCGGGTTCCATCCTATAAGTTTAAGGAAGGGAGCAAAGGAAGTTATCTTTGCCCTTAGTCTTGGGTTCAGTGAATAGGCAAATTTTTTTAGTCTTATTCCCTAGCTGAGTGAATAGGCCGATATTTCGTATAGTGATAACGCTTTCTCTTTCTTATAGGGGTCTCTTTTCTCTGACTTGACTCAGCTTGACCTACTTGACTCAGCGGTTAGAGTATCGCTTTCATACGGCGAGAGTCATTGGTTCAAATCCAATAGTAGGTAAGGCCGAAAGCCCTGCTTTTGCCAGCATGACAGCAAGCACGGACTGGCGGAGTCAACTGAATGACCAAAGCTTCGGTTGCTTCCACTTGTGGCCTTCTTCGACCGCCTTGACACCTTAATCTCAGGGAACCCCCTCTCCTCTCTTCTTCTCTTCATATATGTATGTGGGCTGCCTGCCCCGTCCCGAATAGACGAACAGGAACAAGCTGAAGAAAGGCGCGAGAGAGAGTTTATACTCAATGCACCTCCCCTCTTCCACAATTAGGTGAAGACCTGGGGGCCGGAAACCCCAACGGGAAACCTTTCACCGCGCCACACGATTCTTTCGCGAAGCGCTCTCTGATACGCACTCCTGCCTCCGCAAGCAAAGAGGTTTCAAAGATACCAGGCGACCAAGTTAAAGTGAACAGCCCCGAGCAAATCTTCTAGAGAGCGTACCCGTTGTAGCCAAACAAAAAAAAAGAAATGAACACCCGCCTGCATAACCTTTCTCCCACACTCTGACTTCAATGATGGGAACAACCCCCGCACTCCGGCGCTCCAATGAACAACAGTTCTCCGCCTTACTTTCTTTAGAATAGTGGTCGATCCCTCGGGAGTGACATTCGTAACTTAATGTTATGTTCACGTTCACGCGGTGATATTATATCCAAGAGTACTACCCTGTACGTAATCTATGTCTGGGGAGCATACTTGACAGGAGATAGACACAGGCGGTAGATAGGTCCCCCACTTTGATTCCTGCCCCGTTAGCACCTCCGATCCGAGATAAGGGATTACTCCGTTAGGTCTTTTCGGTCCGGAGCCGGCCGGTAATGGACCTACTTACCAAGCCTTGCTTGTGGACCAGCTGCGGAGCTAACCCTTGTTTTATGGGTTTGGCGGTTGCTACCAAGACGATTTCTTTATGCCCATCAAAGGACCTCGAGATGCTAATCCACGAAAAACGATACGAGAAATTCGAAATAACTCATATACGGAACGAGGGCGACCCGTGGAAATACATCGGTTTCTTACTCGTGCAAAGGAACTATTTCTTGGCAACTTGGACAACTTATAACGAAGTTTGTCCCGCATATCACTAGGAAGATCGGAATCTTTACAAAAGGCTTTATAAAGCTTTCGTCTCAATTCATATTTTGCCGCGAGCAATCTGCGTTTGTGATCTCGTATATTTCGCTTCTCCGACATCTCTTACTGAGTTTCTCCCTCATCTTTTTGCAAAAAGCCGCTCCACGGTGGTAAAGTCTCATCTTATCCTCTTTCTGAGTCATAGCTTTTCCTAGAAATCCTCCTCTTCCTGTTCTATTGATCAAAAATATCCAGCAGCAGCAAGATAGCGCCGGTTTATAATTCACGAGAGATTTAAGTACGCTAAGTGAAACGGTCGATTTGCCTATTTTCTTTTTATTTTATAAATTAAATATTTATATGGGGCGTGCAGCACTTTTCGATGTCACGCACAAGCATCAGGCTACTAAGACTTTAGTATGTACGAGCGGTGTTGAACCCTCTAACACCATGGCACCGATGTTCATGACGCCGTGAAACCTTCCCGACGGCTAGCAAATATGGAACGCGCTGAACGATGGCGTCCTAATGGCGTCACTGTCGTTGTCACTGCTGGAGGAGAGAAGATGACCAGGAACTCCGGCGTGACGCGGAAGAGGAATGGAATTCCTGGTAGGATTCTTGCCGCTCGAGGAGCAGAGCCCTCAGGAGGTCGTCCAAAGCCCGAATCCGGTCTCGGGTATTTTGCATGTTGCCACCCGCTCCAGATTGATGGGAGAACGACGGGGATTGAACCCGCGCGTGGTGGATTCACAATCCACTGCCTTGATCCACTTGGCTACATCCGCCCCTACCCCCGCACTGGTTTTAGTCTCTATCTACGATCAGATTCTTTCTGAACCCCCCTATGACCGCTATCAAAGAGAAGCTTTTTCCTATACTATAACTATAGTAGTAGCAAGTCTATTTCTTGTTTTTTGGAATTAGGGGAAGCAAAGCTTCAAACAAAGAGGTTGGGCTGTTCACTTCATTGATTTGACTTCACTTGACTTAAGATTAAAGATAGGGGCCGGGCGGGCAGTGAAGGCTCGTTTAGTAGACAGCAAGCTCCGCTTTTTGAAGCGAGCCCCCAGAAAGCCATTGCACGCTAGCCTCTTGTATAGGGTTCCCTGCGCACCCCAAAACTACAAGCTAGCTTTGAAGCCCCTACTTTCTCGATGGTTGGGATATTTAAAGAAGCCCCTTTCTATAATATATATAAGGGAAGCTCTTCGAGCTTTCTTCGCATGCTTGAGCTTTCCCCTTTCTATTAGTAAGGTTGTCAAAAGGTAGGTTTCTTACTTAGTGCTTGTGCTAAGGAGCTTCTTTCTCAAAGTAAACTTTCTCGCTTCTTGCTTTAGTAAAGATTGCAGGGGCGCGTAAGCGCCCTTCCTTCAGCCGGCTCCGCCCTATCTATTCATCTCTTTTCTCAAATGGATCTTTAGGGATCTCTCTTGTTCATAGATCTTGAAACCAGATCAATAATATCCATTTCTCAATATATCTTTCTGGATCTATCTCCATATCTAAGAAAGAACCAACACTTAAAGGGCGTAACCAACGGAAGGTTCTCACCCCCTGTCCCCGACATAGTTCTCCGACGATGCCCCCTGGGCGAAAGGGGCCACCATTATCTTTCTTTCTTCAATCGTTCCGATCAGGACAAGTGGGTTGGTTTCGTCCTTCTATCTACGCAATTCTCTGTCTTCGTTCGTGATCATGTTGGGCGAAAGGTAGTTAGTTGTAGAGGAGCGGCTGTGAAACGGCGATTCCCCCCTTTCCATTTAAGTAGGGGGGGCCTCCTTCCCCACCATTCCGGCCTATTATTTATAGGGATTTTACCGATGCTGAAGGTCGCTTGCTTACCAAGCCACCCACTTGATAAGCTAGTCGCCAGAAAGAAGCGGCGAGGACGCGAAGCTTCCCTCCCCCCTGTAGTCGAAGTACTCGGCGCTACTTTGATTCAAAAGGTAACCGACGGTTCCCGACTTTATCCGGTTTCCGCAACCGTAATCATTTGTCACTCCATCCATAAACCTTTTTTTCAATAGCGGTACGCTCTAAAAAAAGTAAAGGATAAGCTTGCATTCTAGAAGCGGTAGCTTCCCGCCTCCTTAATTTCTACTGCCTTGCCTCCTTCGGTGATAAAAATTACCTTCCCTTTTCTCAAATGCCCGATTGGTCTGCCTCAGCAAATGTACAAAGTGGACCGCTGTTTGACTGACCCTCTTCTTCCCATTCGGGTTGGGTTGACCCAGAAGTCAAGTAAGAAGGAATGGAACCACTGGAGAGTCGTCCGCAGTTCACACTTGGGCAAAGACGACTGACTTTGTTTGGAAGCGGAACACGAACCGATTTCCGCTATTCCGGGTTCTTATTGAGCGTAGAGAAATCAAGGTTGTTTATTATAAAGTCAGCGAAGTTTCTATGGTGTTCTACCTTTGCGTAGTATCGGTCCACAGTGGAAGGCTCCGTACCGACGCCTCACTACTACTTAATTAATGGCTAAGCTATTTCATAACCTGAGCTTTCCTTAACCAGCTGACCTTACTTCGTAACCTTAACGTACTTTCTTTCTTACTATATCATAGGCCTTCGCCACTTCAAATGGGCGCTTCGCCCTTTCTTTTTTTTTATTAGAAAAAAACGGGGCCTTACTTATTCAGTTCAGGGAGGATGAAAGACAAAGAAAGGGATCAGGGGGCTTCTTGATCGGAGAAAGGGAAGGGACTTTTTGGACCTAACTGAGAAGGAGACAGAAAGGGATCACCTGACCTTATCTTGAGTGAGAGAGGCAAGTCGCAAGGCAAAAAGCTTAGTCGTTTTCAAGTCTGAGGGTGCGGGATTTCTATGTCATTCAGTGCCTAAAGTCAGTAAGTCAAAGAGTACGAATACCAGCTCTAGTACTAATACCAGTACCAGCAGCATGGCATTCAGTAAACAAACAACTCTCCCAAAATAGACTAGCAGCGGCAAGATAATCAGTCTCTTCCCCCTGCTTCATTCATAAGTAAGATCGCTTTCTCCGCTCCGGGACTTTCCCTTAAATCAGTTAACTGGGTATGAGAAGGCCTCCCCTCTAGTCTATAGTAGCCCTTCTTCCTCCAACCCTGAGTTCCAGTGAGACCAGCCGAGCCAAGCGAGTCCAATAACAGCATCGTCAATAGCAGAGGATATCCCTCCAACAGCTTCATTTTAGGATGGCACTTGCATTTGGGTTGGGAGCTTTCCCTTCTCTATGGCTAATTCCTCGCTGGCCGATCGCCTTTCACCTGGTTCTATAAAGAAATAAATTTACCGGTGTGAGCTTTTAATTCTGACAACAGCTAAATCTAGGGCACTGCATAAGGAATAAGGAGGAGATTCCCTGGTATGAATTCAATTGATTGGGCATTTCTCTTGGAGCGATGATTCTTGGCCACTTCCTATTAAGATAAGGTTTCCCATCCGAAGTCTTTGCTGCTGTTAAAGGATTTGTTTCGCTACGCCCCTCTTCCTGAGGCCTTAGCTTCGTGATTAGGAAGCTTCTTTGTGAAAATCCTCATATCCTTTCTTCCGGATGAACGAATCAGACTGAACCACTGTAGAATTTTAAGCTGCTGGCAAGGAGCTACTCTTTCCCTCCACTCCGGGCTGGCAAGCTTATATCTCTCGATAGCTGCATCGGATCTTTCCTGAAAGCTGGGCAAGGTGCGAAGCAAACTCATATCGTCGTATACCCAGGGTGCGTAAGCCTTCTGATCCTACTTTGTCGTTTAGATTATGCCAAAAAGACGGGGAAAATGATCAACTGTCACATTTTTATGCCAGTTTAGGTAGGGCTAAAATGAACTTTAATCCAAAAAGACCGAGAAAACGCTCAACTGACAGGATTGAACTGTCACTAAAGAGGGAAAAGTGATTGCTTCAAATTTTCCCGATAAAATGGCACATTCACATTGAAGATAATCGGCTGGCTGTGGGCTTGAAGGAAGATAAGAATTCAAGGATAGCTTTGGTAACTATTTTCCCCACAATGCTCCAGCTGGATTGAAAGAATTCAGCAGTAAAACCGTCAGGTCCTTGTGCCTTATTTGCCTTTAGAAAGATTGTCTTCTTAACATCATCAGCCGTCATAAGAGCCACCAGTGCAGATCCTTGCTCATCAGTGATAAAATGGCTTAGCAATGATCTGATCTCTTCAGTGTCACCACCTCAACCATTACTATCTGCAGTTCCAAGGAAATTCTTGAAATGCTGTAAGAATTCCTTTTTAATCAAAGCAGGTTCCTCAATCTCCTGTAGCAGAGGTGATAGATAGAATTCTGCTCTTAGCAGCTTTGGCTTTGACAACTCTGTGAAAATAGCAAGTGTTTTGATCACCAGCTTCAAGCCTGTTTACTCGGGATTTATGTTTCATAAACTGCTCCTCAGGCAGGACACTTGCTTTCTTTCTTTTAATGGTTTACCCTAAGTCTCACCTTATTAGTCTAGGTAACTTTCTTCGCTCACTGTAATGGTAAGGCTAATAATAAGACTTTCTGTTTCCTGGCTTCGCTCGAGATCTCCGAACCTTCGCTCTGCTTTTGCTTGCAACTATAAGGTATTCCAAAGCCGTAAGAATTACTTGTAATTCAAAAGCTTACGTAATTGCTAAGTTGCTAAGTCTTCCATCCTCTCCTTTACAGTCGAGAACTACGTACCTCTAAGATGGAAATAAAGAAAACTCAAAGTCTGACCTAGGGGACTGCTACCTACTAAGCCGAGCCTGCAGTTGCACAAACTTCTACCATACTTCTGCAACTGAAATTAATTACAAATGCTGTGGAACCTGTCGAGGCTGGTCAAGATCAATAGGCCAATATTCCTTCTGTTTGTGTAAATTTACTCAATCTATGGAGTTCTTTTTCCCTCCGGCCAGCGGGGCAGTTAGAGTCTGTCCCTGATCTCAACTAGCACTAGCCTTCGTGTTAATAAGTGTAACTGAACTAGAGCTAAAGGCACGTAGTTACTCGAGCTAAGCTATAGGGTCTATGTTAATAGAGCTCGACTGTAAGTAAAGGAGAGGAAGAGACTTTATCTCCAGCTCAATCACCAGCACGTAAATAGAAGATATTCCACTTCTATGCTCTATTTCTTGTTTACTCCGTTCCACTCGCTTGTGAGCTCGTTTGGGAAGCTAGATCATTCAACATGCTTTCTTAGCTGGAAATAGAATGATACTGATTATCTTATTATTACAGCTTAAGTGCATTTTATATATAAGATAGAATCTCATGCATGCTTGGAAGTTAGGTTACTCGAAACGATTTTCTTAGGTGCTAGAAGCTGCTTGAGGACTTGCTAACCTTACTCTTCCTTATCCAGTGAAAGATTCATTTTTTGAGTTAGATTGAGTGGAATCTTTCCGAGAAGAGGTGCCAATCTAGGCTAACTAGTATGAGTTCATACCCGCCTTTCCTTGCTTTGAGCTTGAACGTGGCACTAAAGCTGAGCTCATGAAAGAGACTTCAGGTTATAAAAATATTTCCTTTAAGGCTAGCTCATTTCACGATTCGAGGACTTCTTACTACTTAATTCTTGCAAGCCCACACCTTAGAAGAGAAGAGACAGTCTGACTATCTCTTGTGCCAGAATTCAGGCTCAAGGCCACTTAACGAGACGAAAAGAAAGAGATTCATCTCACTCCCTCGCCTTAGATGCAAGCTCTATTAAGCCCCCACTTTTCTTTCTAGATTTTTGATAATACTAGCCAAAAGGGGACATTTAGAGGTGGTTAAGAGACTTCCGCAGGTGGAATGAATGCAACTCTTGTTCTTTCAAGGGGCGCTCATTAAGCAGCCTTGGGCCTACCTTTGGGATAGATTCCCTCAACAGATACCTTCAATGCGAGAAAGCCAGCAGTTTAGGTTCTGAGCTAAGCATTCGTGAAGCCTGCTCTTTGCTTGGGCCTATCCTGTCTTTAATTCGTGTAAACTCTCTGCCCTCTTCCACTGAGACAAAGTCATTCTAACGCACGCTGAGCAGTTTCTCCACCTCGAAAGCTCAGTCTATTTTTATTTATGGAGAGATTCAAATATGAACATTTCCTCCTTTCCCTGTAGTACGCTAGCCTGTAGAGAACTTCAGTAGGACCGTGGCATCAATGCACCTTTTCGTCGATACTTTTTTACGTAAACTAGATGTTAAGGCAATGTCAATTGTATGATGATATACCGTAGTTGGCTTCTGTTAGCACGAAAGATAGATATGAAATGCCTCTTTTAGAGTTTGAGTATCTTGAAGTGCGGGGCTCAAGAGTTTCCTTCCGTGAGATGAGCTGGGCAAGGATAGGTTAATTCTTGTATAAGGAAGAAGCGGAAGAGCTACTTGAAAGAAAGGTTGGAAGAGCTAGTCCCTTAGGATGCCGTAGGTCCTATAAGGTGGATTCTTCTGCTCTCTTGCCTTTCCTCGCCCTATCGGTCGAGATGTGCCACCTCAACGTCAACTCTCTTCTCTTTCTGGTATCTAGCGAAATGGCAGCTGGATTAATAAGTTATTTTTCTTGCAAAACTTTACTTTAGTCTTTCCTTTTGAATCCCTTCTATCCCTCGCTCCTTACTTAACTCTGGCTACAGAGCAGAGCCCTCTAAATGCCATCATGAAGCGTAAGACATCTCATTGGAAGAAAGTGGAATGCCTCTAATGAGCTCTTTCCGGCAGCTAGTCTCGGGTATTCTATCCTCCCATCCTTCCGACAACGCATTCAATAGCATAGCCAACGGCCCACTCAGTCCCTTACTTGAATTAGGAATCTCAACTCGATCTTAGCGGATCTAACTTAAACTCCTTCTGTCTTAGCCTACCATCTTTATCTTCTATCCCCTAGAGCTCTCGTTTTGAGAGGTTAAGTAGCTGACCTCTTTCTAGTAATCCCCTGAGTCTCCAATCTAAGAGAAAAGTAGCTCCTGGCTTCATGTCTTGCTGATCGATTGACTTCTTTTCTCAAGTTTTGTTTCTCTTTCAGTTGGTGATTGGGGATTGGCATAGTTCCCGTCTCCCCCATTTCTGGCCAAAGAAAAAGAAGGGGAATTCCTTCAAGGCAGCAGGAACGGATGGATAAAAAAACAGGATTGTTCGCCGAACACAAGACCTGGTTATACGGGATAAAAACGAGTATCAATAAGGAAAGGGCTTTCCCTATTAAGGAGGCGGATCCATTTCGGATGCTTTAGATATAACAACCTGGGGATTAGGGTAAGTAAGGGAATCAGTAATCGTTCTTGCTTGTTGGTCTGTTTGCTTTCGGCTTTGCAATTAAATAAAAAAAAGAAAGAAGCGACTAAAATATCGTATCGTATATAGAGAGAGTAAAGCCGTTCCAATCTGCTATAGCAAGTCCTTCTTCACTGGAAGGATGGAACCCTGATTGGTATGCCAACATTTTATCTGGGTAGGTTGACCACATTGGAGGAAACTGGTTACCAGGCTTGTTACCATGTCTCCCGAGTGATGATCTCCTCAGTACATATGTCGTAAGATGTGATTCTACATCTCTAGTTTTGTGCCGCCCGAGGAACACTCTTTTTTTTAAATTGAAAAACTTATTGAACCGTAGCCCCGGAATTCAAAGGAGCAGAACTGACTGCTGGTGGAGCAATGGCTGATGGGAAGGTTGATTGACGATAGGTGTTTGGGTGGCGTGGAAGGCCGTGCTGTACGTTTTGGAATGGAACTCCTATATTACGTAGATAGATAGAGGTACCGTCCCACCCCTGAGAAAGGAGCGCATTAGCTGTTCTACTTGTTGTTTAAATACTTTTCCAGGGAGAATGAGGAAACTTGCATGGAGAAAAGGATGGAGTTTATCAGCTGTAACCGGCCAGCGTAGGAGAGGCTTCTACCCGTCCAATGTTTAAGTTTGGATGGTTTTCTGTCCACAAGTACTTTGCAATCACTAGCTTTGAGCTTTATCGTAAGTTGGGGTACCCCTAATTACCTTACGGGAAGTTTTCCTTCCTTGTAACCCAGCATGTTCGTGATCTGATTCTTTGTGGTTTCCTTTATAAAAATAAAATGAAAACCTCACTCTTAGCCGGATTTATTTGGGGTGAGACCAGAAAGATGTTGAAAGATATGGAGGACATTGTTGATAATGGCAATAGATTATAAGTCACCATTGCTGAACACCATGAGATCATCCGCAAAGCATAGATGCGATATTTCCTCATTTTTACACCTCCAGTGATAGTATTGGGGGCTTATCCGGTGCTCTATTTCATGTAGTCGGAATATCTGGTATCCTATTTTATTTTCCTACTAATGCCAGATCTGATTCAATAGGAAAAGAACCTTATACCCCGTCTGGTATTCAATTCACTAGCTTCGACCACTGTCACTCCCGTTCTTAAAGAGTCAAAGTGCTTTGAGGAAGAAGGGGAAGTTTGATAATAAGCTCTTTTTATTTTTGCACCTGAATCAATAGTAGACAGATATAGACAGTGTGCAGTGAGGGTGGTTGTAAATCACTAGGTAACCAGTCTTTACTTAAGTCGGCCCAAGCAATGCCCAAAGACTCCCATGTCTTTATTGGTTGGACCAACCGGAAATTGGAGACAAGTCTTTCTAAATTTTGAGAGCAAGAATGAGTCTCTCTTTTTTTTTTGAGAGGCCATCTTTCTTGTCAAGTACCTCTTCAACTCTTTCTTCAACTAGGTCGGACGCGCAAAGCGCTCCACCTGAGTTAGAGCGGGTATTTGATCGAATCTGTGATGAATACGCAGAGTGGGTGGTGAGAGCCGGTAAGCAATTACCCCCAGAATGGAGCATGCCGGGCCTTGTTCGGACAGTGATTGGGGACGAGGCTATTCACATCCCAGGCTTTATCAAGGATTCATATGTTGATGTTATGTTATATGGACAAAATAGTTGGTTATGCAACGAGGTTTTTCAGTTTTTGGATTTAATTACCAGCTAGCTCGGTAATGTAATATAAACAGAACATCTTAGTCTTTATAGAGCTGCGGCATTCCCCCTTTTTACTAAAATTTAAGTTTGATTGTGTTAATTGTTCTTTATTGGCTCTATATTCATTTCATACTCTCTTTATTTCATATAGTAAATTTGGACTGACTTGTGGGGGGTCTCAGCCTCTGGACTTTGAGTGGATTTGCTGTTTCGACAACGGCACTGACAGTTCCAATCTGCCGGCATTGGAATCGTCGTCAAGTTACGAGTCTCTGGCTACTTTTCGAAATGTTATCGCAGCAGAAAATGAAGCGGAAATATATGAGCGAATTAGGGTTCTCGAGAACCAGCATTACTACAATATCCCCCCTCATAATAACCCGGGAGATTACGCGAGGCTGGTTCGAGAGCACTTCGATCAAGCCCTAAACGTAGATCACTACTGGGAAATCTTTGATCGAGAGTATCTCGAACTACGCGTATTAGATAAAAAGGCCGGTCTGCAGGATAAACTCTTAAATTTGATGCTTGATGAGCAGAATCTTGCTCGAATTATGGAGCTATCTCCCTATTCAAATAGTTGGTAGGAAGCCTACGACTTCATTCAGGAGAAGGTTTCCCCGCTTAGCTCCCTTGAACATGCCTATCCGCGCCATCTCATGGATGGAAGTCTGACGTTCTTTATAGAACAAGTAAACCTAAGCGGCCGCAATTTAGAAATCTATCGTGAATTCTACTCGCATTTCACCGATGACGAATTTCGTCGACAACAGGGGTTGCCCTTACCATAATAGGTAAGAAGGTAAAAAATAAAGCCGGGCTTAAAATCATAACTAGGTTGTAGTCTCCTTCGGTCATGGCCTTTTTCTGTATAGATTATTATTTATAGTTCTTGCATTAACCGGTCTTGAATTAGGTGTAGGTAACAAAATTTTATTGTCTTATTGTTGTATCGGGGTCTTACTGCTTTTGGATTCCTCATACTCAATGAATGAAGATTCAAACAAAAAGGAAAAGGGTAAAACCATATCTTACTGAAGAATCTGACTGAATGAGGATCAGAGAGCTCTTTATGTGGTCTCACTTTACCACCATATGAAATGCGCGAAACTTCGATTGGTGGAAGCCAGTCCATGAAGATTATCCCTTTTCTTACGTGCAATTCCCCTCTTTCGGTAAGCATCCAGTATCTCAGCAAATGAACATTTATCTAAGCTTATCCTGTAGCTTATACGTCGTTTGAAAGCTGCTTCAAGGATCCAACGAATAGCTAAGGTTCGTTGACGATCCCTGGCTACAATCCCCAGGGCATCATAAATAGTACCTGCTACTCCGACTTTTTCCACTTCACATATGGGCTTTATATTCTCTACGGCGTCAACCATAAGTTTGATTACATCGCGTTCAGTTTGAGCTGGGAAGTAAACTAGGTTTTGCTATTCCTTCTCGAGCTTCTATTTCATACCTTAAAGGAGATTCGGGAAAAGATAGAATAGGAAGACGTGTTTCCAGAACAAACAAGATACGGGTTGAGAGGGGGAAGTTAGCAAAGTTAGACAAGATTGGAATGGGCATAGGAACATGTATTGATGTACCAGATCGGCTAATGCTCCCAGGTTGATGCAAAGTATTCCACCAGTTGACTGAAGACTTTATTATTGGTATATCGATCGGTCCAGCACGGATTGAAATAGGAGCCGGTTCGACATGAAGCTTTTGAAAATGCAGTGCACCCAGGTAAATCAGAAACGAGATGAATACAGAGGTTAAACGAGCATCCCACACCCAAAATGTGCCCCACATAGGTCTTCCCCGAAACCCCCCAGTAACTAAGGTAAACAACGTAAAAAAAGCACCCATTTCTGTACCGGTTCCGGAAGAGCGAAGAAAAAGGGGATGTTTTGTTAATAGGAATAAGAAAGTGTTTATAGCCGTAGCGATATAAACAAGAATACTCATCCGAGCCGCAGGAACATGTACATAAAGAATACGAGAATTTCCACCTTGTTGAAGATCTAATGGTGCTACCCGAAGACTTAAATGAATAGCCATCGCTGTTAAGAACAACCGAGATCCAATGAGAATTAGCGCACAGCTTCTGGTCTTTGACATCAAAAAAGAAGGTTGTAATAACGATAACGAAAGGGACATCTGATAGTTTTGTCCTAGCTAGTGGAACAAGAAAGACATGGATCTATATTCAATACGCAATCAAAGGATTTCTCCCAACGAATAATTCCCCCTGCTTTGTTTTCGCTCCGCTCGTGCGTGGCACTCCTTGCTGGCGGAGCGGCATACCGAAAAAAAAAGAAAGATCATGAGTATACTTAATACCAACCCAATCTCGATAAAAGTCAAAGTGACTACATCTCCTGCGGACCCTGACGTGAACAGACGCTTTCTCGGATAAAGCTTTTTTTCTTTGTTTGTTGACTTCACTTAGCAAGCCTCGAATCCAAATCCTTTCTACGCGACTTTCTTATCTTATGAAATTTCTACTCAGCTTGAAAAGAAGCCTCAAGCCGAGAAGAGCTCTTCATCATATTCGACAATTTCGAAAGAAGAACTGACAGTGATTGACCTCACGGCACACATGCTATATGTTCATGCCAAAAAGGCTATATTTTATATTCTTAATTAAAGGAGTGAAGCGCTTAGTGGTTGAAGTAGAGGAGAGCTAGAATGAGTAAATTTTCCTAGGGAAAGCATACAAGCAGGAAGGAAGAATCGAAAAGGCACTTTATTTACTATTTAGGAATGAGCGGCCTACAGAGTGGAAATGATCCTGCAAAGCCGGTCAGGCCAACTCTAGCTTTAGGAATAAAAAGGCATACAGCCCCTACGAAAGCATCCATTTCATGAGTTGAACTGGCTCTGCTCCTTGCTGGAGGAAAAATGAACGAGATTATGTATGTTATTCGAAGCCTTTTATAAGTCCGATCTTTCCTTTCAATTCGTGTAGCGAGGTCCTCTTCTTGCTTTTCTCTCCTAGCATTCTACTGGATAGCTCCTACCCTTCCTTTATCCTCCTTGCGCTATGAATTGGCTTTATTGTTGTTAATGGGCAGACAAACTTTAGACCCAGACGTGGGTGGGCTTTTTTCTAAGGAAAAAGTATGACCTTAATCTACTTTCTCGGGTATCTAGCTTACGGAAGACAAGGTCTTGACGTTCTATAGATGAACTAGCATAACATACATGCTTGAATTTATAAAGGCAAGACAACTCTGAATCACTCGTTTAATACAAAGCAACTTTCGCCCTATCCTGACCTGACGGGAAGGGAACTTCTGAAGAAGACTGACCTGTGCTCTTCCTGTAATCTGACCTTACAATAGCTTTCTTAAAGCTTTTGGCTTATTTATCTCCAATTGTTTTTGTAATCGTATCTGGTAATTCTCTTTCTAGTGGATCAAGATATTCGAGGCTAATCCACTCTTCCTTGAAACTTGGAAATCGCCCTTTATTCAAATGAAAACTTTTTTTACTTATAAATGAGTTGCTTCTCGACTCGACTGACTCACACTCCTCTCCTATCTTTTTAAGAGCTGCCATGGGCATTTATTTACCTTGGATGCTATAAGAATGGGCTGGCTCTTTCCCCATTCAAAAGGATTAAAATGGACAAATCCATTAAGAGTATCATTTGTCACTTCTCTTTATTTCCCACCCACCTACCTATCATCTATCAGTCTCCTGAAGCTCCCCCGCGCTAATCCCGCTCGTTGGTATCTGTGAGTCTAGATCTTAGCTTATCTTATACTCTCTATACTTCGCATTTCCTTGAGCCTTTCTACTTATAGACCAGGACTGCTATTTGTTTCATACCTGAAATGAAATGAAATAAAAGGCAAGTCAGGGATTCCTCGATACCGATCCTTGAAACCCTGAATGAAGGGCACTGCGTCAGGTCAGAAAGAAGCGCTGATCCACTTATACTCGCTAGGGGTTACTCTATCACACGCATCCTAGCTTATCTCACTTCTTCCTTGAAGGTCCCCCTTACTCTTCTCTCTTAAAGCTGTTCGAATCCTCAGCCTGTCCTTGATTAGCTTCCTATCACCTACGCCTCCTCCCAGGAAGTAACTATTCTTTCCTTTCTCCTGGCTCCTGAAGCTTTTGCATTTTTCAAAGGCCTTCACTCGATCTTCATTCTACTATAAGAACTCAAACCTGAGTCCATTCCCCTTCTGGTCGAGTTCGTTTATTCGTTTTTTCAGAACTCACACTTCGTACCTGAACATGAATAGGCAGCGCTCTTTTTCCCGACGTAAGCCCAGGCTTGCTATCATCCAGTTGTGGCTTTTTCCCCCCTTCATTCTCAAGTGCTATAGCTTGTTCGCTAAATTCCTTCCCGATACCCCTTCATCACGTCTTGGGCAACCAAAACCCTAGCCTTGAAATATTTTTTCACTTCCCCGGACGAATGGATTCAATCTCTTTTCAGGTTCTGTGAGGACAGTCCTTACTATCCTAGCTGCGGTTCCTTTTCATATCCCGCTTTGAAGCAACTACACTCGCTCGTTAGCCTGTCTGGCTCTCGACCTGCTTCAGTATCTAAAACACTTTTTTTTACTCTTGCATTCGCTATACTTCGTTCTGCTACCTTCCGATGTACTACCAAACCGACAACTAACCTTGCTTTTCTACCTTATCAGTAACAGCTATATTCGGAGACTTTACCTGAATAAAACGGAGACCTATAACTACTAGGATTCCTAGCTTCCAGCTTTATAAAATGTTCGTTATTTTTTGAAAACCTTGGCAGGATCATAGCTATCCTCCCTCCTATCTTCTTGACTCCTTATAAGCTATTCTCTTACTTTACCTGCTTGGCATGGCAAGCTAATACTAACTCTGAGTGCTTATTGCTTCCTTTTTATTTTTTTACTCTATAGGAATAAACCAAATAGAAAGATTATCATAGATAGTGTCAAGTTCTCTAACGAGCTGTCGTAATTTTGAATTCCCCACCCCCCAACGTCTTTCCCTCTATAGGGATAAAAAAAATAAGCCTATAGGAGATAGACTCATCCCCATAAATCCCATTTGCCTGGCTGTCTCACAATGAGAACCAACATTTGCGATTCTCATCCAATAGAGAGAGGGATTAAAGTACACAGAAATGGTAAATCTTTATCAAAGCAATCTGGACTAGCTCTTGGTTCGGGCACCATCCCGTTAAGGACAGGTTTTCTTATCTCCACGGCCGAGTTTCCCCAATTCCAGTACCTTGGGAAGGCATCACTTATGCTAGAAGGCTTCACAGCCCTCCTTACTAGCAGCCCAGATAAGTTTTGTGCTCGGCTTGATGCCATCTCAGATGTCCATTCAAGTAGCCTGCCTACCCTATTTTCTCTTAGAGAGGGGGCATAGCGTGCCAATTATTTTGCTACAACTACTGTGATTTCCACTGCTGCTCCTTCTTTTGCTACCTTGCGGAAGTCTTACTGCTAATGTCCTAAGCTAAGCCCCTAAGGCCTAAGCGGGGAAGGAGGAAGAATAGCGTTCTAGTGCCCTATTTGTCTAATATCGAAAATTCCCCCAATAATTCGTATTCGTAGCGTCCGATTCCATTCCTGACTAGCGGACAGAAAGAAAGAATTCCTCCTGCTCTACGATTAACTGTTCCGTTTAAGTAAGGCAGTGAACTCGTTAGGACAGCCAGAAGGGCAGAGCTCTATGTTCTATTGAAAGCTGTCTCAAAAGAGCATCAAATCCTGAAAGCAGGACTGCAAGTCCATGTGTTGCGCATGATTAGGGATTAGACTTAGGGCAAGAAGGGCTTTAAGCCCTAAGTAAAGGAACTTCATTTCTCGCCGATTGTACGTCCTTTCAATTTCAACTGATTTTGGACATTAAACTGAATGCACTCGTTAGGTTCAACCAGGGGCTGAGAAAGAGCTTGTGAGTGAGGAATGGGGCTCTCTATGAACAGAATCCGCAGCTATCTTGCTTTAATCTAGCTACTCCCAAACAAAGGTATTTTGCACTCTATACGGTATGGCTACAAACCGAATAAGTCGGAAGTAGTTCATCGCCTGTGGGAGCTTGCTGATAGTGAGGAAGCCATAATCTCTCTATCGGATTGCCTATTTGTCTATCTGTCTGGTGAAGAGAGAATGGAAGAGACTCTAAATAGGGCAAGCACCCAAGACCTCGTCGAGTCCAAAGCTCCTGCTCAAGCAGTTCAATCCAATTGAATTGAGTACCTACGACTGTGGAATGCTTCTTATATGTTATTTTATTATAAGAGGAACTCAAAGTAAAAACTAGACTTTGTCTTACGCACACTGACTTCAATCGTATAGAGATTTCCCACTGTCTGTGTCGATACCAGAAACTACGACTGAAACCTACACCGCTAACGAAGTTCAAGTGATTGCCTACTTTCTATGTCCGGAGACGCTTACTGCACTGCTTCTTCTGTCAAGACAGGCAGGCAGTTATCAGGATGTAGTCAAGGAGGTAGGCTTAGAGCCAGCAATCAAGCTAGCAAAGTATACCGCGAGCGAGTAGCCTTTGCCAAAGAAGGGACATGCTGACTTAGAGTAGCGAAAGGCGAGCGGGCTATAGTTACCAGTTTCGAGTTACTTAGCTGGTATTCCCCAGCACGGCTTATGCGGATCTCTCTCTCTACTACCAGGGAACGGGTTAGAATCCCGGAGCACTACAGGCCTAACTTATTATTCGATATAATGAGAAGCACCTTTATTGAACTAAAACCCTTATCCCCCAACTGATCTACCCAGTAATGTGATGAGTTCCGACCTCGAAGGCCCAATCCTTCGTCGTACGGAATGAGTATGACTTGGCTACAAGGGAAACAAAGCGCCCAAGAGATCTAGCTTCTTTGAGGACCTGTTGCTAGCCCCATCATCATCCCGAGCTTTTAACCGTCGGTCCCATGACTGCACGAGCCCTATGAACTAGCTCTTCCGTGTCCGCCGAACTTTACGATGGAGGGCGTTCCATTCGAGTATTTAATTTTCCCAACCCCGGGTGAGCACCGTTAATGTCTCTAGTAGATAGACTCTACAAGGAACCTGGCTCAGAGGAAGAAGGACATTAGTTTGAAGTCTCGAGTCTCTATCCCCTCTCTAGTGCTGCTTACAAGGACCGGTTTCCCTACTACCGTGTCATGGCGATATCTGCCTCGAAACCCTCGACTTGCTTCGTCTCCTAGTGGTGGTTTCCCGTGGAGCGACCGTGAGTCAGGTGGAGTAGCCCTATAGTTAGTAGACTTCCCCTCAGCCTCTCAACTCATACAGAGGGAGGGGAAAGAGACTGATGCTACTACCAATACCAGGTACCGGGTGAATCATACATATCTAGCTGGAAGCCTTATCCTCATTTCAAGTCGAATCCGAGGCTTGGCACCTTTAGTTCTCGAGATATCCACTTGGTGATTAAATTTGAATTTGTTGTTTTCAACTAGAAATAAAACTGGAACGAGAACCTCCATCTAGACCTAGACCTGACACCCGCATACCGCATATGCCAGTGGTTGTGGTACAGGTAGTTGTTTGTGTCTTGAATCGACAGTGAGGGCTGTAGCTCGGGGAAGGTTTGCCTG